CTGTGATGGACTGGCCCTGGTGTGAGTGTGCGTGTCTGTGTGTGTCCTCTGATGGACTGGTGTCCTGTCCAGGGTGTACCCTGCCTTGCGCTCCTTGCTTGCTGGGATAGACTCCAGCTCCCCCACGATCCTGTACTGGAAGAGGAGGTTAGAAAATGGATGAACGGATGGCTTTGTTAACTAATGTACTGCGTTATGCACGGGAATTGTAAAATGACACTTTGGCAGGTTCACGGAAAACGTCACTCATGCAAAACAAATGAGACTTCCACACATTCACAATCCACGCAATGCCACGACGGCGGCGTTATGCCTCCATCGGTCCCCAGTTTGGAGGGCTAACCCAAACGAACGAATGAGAAAGCAGGGACACCGGTCCAACAGGGTTCTGAGAACCGGCTGAAACACGGGAGGAACCTGCCGTTTCTTGTCAGTCTCCTGCTGCTGCTTGATGTGCTCGTCCTCGTACTCCCGGATGTTGGCAACACCAATCTCGATGCAGAAATCGAGGAACACCGCGTCTTCAATCTAGGAGGGCAGAATACGTCACAGTATTTCAAGGCTTCTGCTCTTCCTCAAGTCCTCCTAAGCCACAAGGTGCTCTGGGAAGGGGGACGACGAATGCCCTTAGTGACATTTTTGTTCACTGTTTAACTTGCAGTTCGGGGCTGACTGCCCCCGCATCTTCCTCTGCCTCCTACACACTGTCGTGTCCTAAGGCACTCAAACGTCAGACGCTGCTAGGACCAGTAAAAAAAATCCACACACTTAAAAGTCCGTCAATCCAAACACAATCCAAGCTTAATATTACACACAACCAATATCCCCATTTCTCATGTCTGAATAGGACAATCCGCAGCCTGAGCCTCACTTTGCTCAAGTGGAGAACTGCATCCACTACAAGGAGACAAGAAGAGGTGAATTCCGCGCGAAAACACAGGAGAAGCTCAGCGTGATGGCTGTCGTGCCTACTTCGGATGTGGGAGAGAGAGTAGCCCAGTGTGTGATCTCCTGTCCCA